AATGTACAATCTTGTCATCTCAATTATTTACCCCGTACTTTCCTTCTTTCTCCTTACTCATATATTTCTTAATAAATCTATCACCTTCTTTCATTTCAGTCACCCAGAGAAACAGTGACGTATACACTAATAGTTTGAGATCATATTGGTTAAAGTTTGGGTAGTTTACTTTCTGTGTATGTTAACCCACCTCACAATGAAATGAAACTGGTGTATATAACATTTTTTAACAGTGGTTATCTCAGAAAAGTTAGTTATTTGGGAATATTCATCACTGCTCCCACAAGCGGTTCATTTCATCCACCAATCCTCTATTCACTTTCTTATCCTTATCAAATTCTTTAAATATTTCACTTTTTACATTCTCTCATTATGTACATACAGACAGTACTGATAAACCTCAACATGACAAAAGGTAACAAACAAGTAATGATTGAGGATAAGATAAAAGGAAAATATTTCAAATTCTTTATTGATAAGAAGTATTAGCTAATAATCTCTCTCTACAAAAATGTTGTCATTGGTATCTTCAAATATAGCAAAATCCAACCAAAACTATGGTTTTTTAAGAATATAAAAAATACAAATACTGGAAAGATTAAATTCATTTACACACCTGAATCAAAGTAAAAATTATGGGGTAAATCCTTCGTGACATTTTGAAGAAACTTTTCATCCTTTTCAATTCTGTTATTCAATTGTCTTATACAGTCAATATCCTCCTCTCACTAACTAAAATCTGTCAGTTCTGTTCAAAGGTATAAACTGAATAAATAATATGCAATTCCCCTACAATGATAAATATTTTTATTTGTAACTTCAACTTTTAAAATATTGATCTCATCCTTACAGAAATAGTAAACCTTTCAACATTCAGGTAATGTGCAGGTCCCTATCAAACCATCACATATAATCTTTGTATCAGTTTTATAATTAGTCCCTATGACCATCCACTTAGAGAAAGAGGGACGTGCATGTCTGGGTGATCAAATAAGAGAGTACGTGTTCTAGGCTTTGACTCCCTCCGGTGGCTGTGGAGGAGCTTGAAGACGCCTGTACCAATATTCATAGGCTTTCCCATGATGATACAGTCACTCACGCCTTTGATGGGGTTACTTTGACCATGGTAGGCTGCATCAAACAGATGATCAGCCGTCTTCTCAAACTGAAACAGAATTACAGTAATCACAATATTAATAACTAACTTCATTTCTTGTTTAATCCCTTGTGTATGGGTTCCCCTCTGAGTTGAATAAGATCGTCTGGCATTACCCAAATAAAATACTAAAAGTGGCATCCCTGTAGTGAAGGATTAGATACCATATATCTTAATCAAAGTAAATCATCCTACAACAGTACCTTATTTCCTTCCATAACATAATAAAACAAAACAAAAAATATCTCAGTGAAGTAATGAACCCATTGAATGCACATGTCAAAACAGTAAGTGAAATAATTGTATATTTCTTGACATATCCACTTCCAGGTATCTGATGTATATGTGAGATGAATGAGCAGTATAAGTGAGGAACTCTGTTTGACTTTAAATCAAATGAAAAGGAATCTGTTGAAGGGAGACATGAGGAAGTGAGATAGAATAATATTCATGCAGTGCACAGTACCACATTCAACTGAAGAAGAAATGAGATAAATTAACTTACAGAGGCAAGCATAAGGACAGACTCCTTCATTTTTGAAAGTCCATGTCGGGTGATGCCTAATACTTGGCCACGGCAAGTCATGAGGTCAGCCAGGAGCATCACGTGGCGACGATCAACACTGAGACCGTGAGTTTCCATAGTTACAGTAATCTCCTTAATGATGGTCGCTCTGTCAGAGATAAAAAAATATAAATAATTAAATTGCTGTAATATAAACAACTGTGTCCTCAATTGCCAGATATGTTAGCTTGTGATACATTATCCTTGGACCCTGTAAACACATGTTAAAAAAGTCCACCTTAGTAACAGAAACATGTTCTCCTGTAAACTTTGGTGTAAGGTATTATCTGTATACACCTCAGAGCTGTTGGTGGTGGTGGCTGTGGTGAAGAGATTAAGGATGTATCTAGCAGCTTCCCAGTTCACCTTAGCAATTTTAAAACTATTACAATAGCCTGTGAGACTAAGATAAGACTTACCTGGCAGCTTCAATGCCTAGACATGTGAAAACTTCATACGTGTTGTTGGAAGTACAGCGGGTGCCATCAACACCGTACGTGGCTATGACCTCACGCAGGTTGTCTCCCTCCACCAGCAATTCATATCGGCACACCCCCCCAGGACCAGTGTCATTCTGAAGGTGTAATGATAGCTTAGATGTAACCAAATTAAATCATAAAATTGTGAATAATCAATCTGAGAATCAAACACACACACAGACAAGATTTTTCTCCTTTTTGAATTCTTTTTCCTTAAAATTTCCACATTATTATTACTATACCTAACTGGACAAGCTGACACTGACTGCATGTGGTAAATTTTGAAAATGTGACGTACCTTGACAAGCACAGTATACACCGTACACATGTTACACTGTATACTATGTATATTTTCTACTTTTTCAACCATTTATACACTTAATGGATAGCAACCAGAAACAAAGAACAAATGCAAACACTAACTTTCTCTTCAATCACCATCATATATATTTTTTCATAACATATTTCTTACAGTAGCTCTAATAGATTACTTACTTGATTAATAACAGCTCGATTCACTGATGGCAAACCCTTAATGATAACTTGGGTAATGTGTTGCTTTAGGTGCTGCAGTTGGTAGTACATAGCCGAGGCTTTGGTCCTGGACGGTCGCACGGTGATGATGGTGTCAGACTCCACACACACATCCATCTCCTTCACCTAATGTAAACATGACAAAGTTGAGAACAAAACTAAATACTCCTGTAAATTCTAATACAGTGTAAAGTACTTCAGAAACTCATATTAACATTTGATAATATTCTTAAGGTTAAATATATCCTCAAAGAAGGTTACTTAACACAGTTTACTAAAATTACAGATAAATTCATGAGCAATGTAGCTTACAAGAGAAATATATTAAGTTATTGGAATTCAACTTACTTTCAATTTGGATGTACAGATTGAATACTTGATAGAATGAGCATCGACCTCCAGTTTGAGGAGTCTTATGCGGTCCATCGCTAACTTCAGCAGGAGGAAACAGTCGTCAGGCAAGAACACCTCCTCCACATACTCGCACACCTCCCCCAGTAAGGTCTTCTCGACGCGACCTTTAACCTGCCGGGCCTTCTCGGGATCTGAATCGTCCTTGAGGTTTGCTGTGATGATTGGCGTAGAGATGCTGCGCGATGCATTGATGATTTCCAGAATACTGTAACACAGATAAGATGATAACAGTGAGATGCAAATAATAAAGATTGAAAAAACATGTATTGAGATATTAAGTCGTGTGTAATAATGTGATATAATTATCTCATTATACAGAAGTGAAGAGACAAGAGCCTGGCATCCTTTGATGTTTCAGATACATTGGCTCATATCTGTGTTAGTTCCTACAAAGGGCAAGTGATGCAGTGGCTTAAATATGATACCTATTACCAAAACCATTTAAAAAATCGCCACACACACAACAGACACACTCTCTTTCTTTCCTGATTGGTGTTACCTGTATTTATATACACGAATTATCAGATAAACAGAGTGTTCCCAATATGTTATCTGTCTTTAAGGAACAGGGCTGGTGGCTGGAAGACTCAGACTCAGGGCTTTATCTCACACGTAAAAGGAAAAATTTTGTAACGCTTCCATCCCTCCTTCTCATAACTCACTGTCCAATACACAATCTCCAAACCTCTTTACTAAATCAATTAACAGATGATAGAGTTTTTTGTTCCCGTCAGGTAAAAATTAGCCCATGACTTCTCTGCAAGGGTAATGAACCCTTTGATTTTTCACTAACCTTTAATACTCTAAGTCCAAAGAATATTAAATCGCAGTTTGGGCTTCCATATGTCTTAATGAAGTTGCAGTCTTATTTTTTGTTATACTCAATATGCCTCTTGTTATTATACTCATAGCACCTCTCATTATACTTATAGCACCTCTCATTATACTTATAGCACCTCCCATTATGCTTATAGCACCTCTCATTATACTTACAGCAACCTCTTCCACCTACATCGTTGAGAATGGTGTCAGATGAAAGATAACCTTATAAATATCTACTAACCGTGGCACTCCAAGTGTGATATTCATGGCAGCGACACCAGCAAAATGGAAAGTCTTGAGGGTCATCTGAGTTCCTGGTTCACCAATACTCTGGGCACACAGGGCACCAACAGCAGTACCCGGTTCCATCACTGCAGCTTGGTATCGGTCCAGGCACGAGTTGAGAAAATGGATCAACTGGGTAAAGGTTAAGCGCTCTATGTGACGTTCAACTGGCAGAGCCTTACGGCCTGTGACTTTCGACAAACGAGATCTAATCTGAAGAGGAAAAAATAAATAATAAAGTTAAAAAAATACAGCACTTTAAACGAGTCATGAAAGACCTCTAACTCAAGTTACTAATCACTGTTGCTATTGGGGTAACATCCAAAAAATATCATAATCTATGAACTCATTCCCTTCTAACACAAATAATAGCGTTCATACTTCAGCAAAAATTTATATGAATGTGTATACAGTATTGCAATATGCAGCAATGTATAATATAAAACATGGTGAAAAATGTGAAGAGAGGTTTGATGAGGTACTATAAACATGTGAGAAGGATGCAGTAAGGAAGAAGAGTATAAAAGGTGCAACGACAGGGACAATATGGCAAGTGTGTTAGGCACAGGGAGTCGGCATACATTGTGGGAGGGAAGATGGAACATTAAGAGCAGAGAGGTGATGAAGAGGAACAGAGAGGGATACAGTACAGTATATAGTGATAATGTCTCCTGGGAGTTCTTATGCCACAAAAAAGAGCTCCCTGAAAGAGTGAGTGAGGTGTTGCAGATAAGGCGACACACACTATGGCATACCTTATCGACCTTCTTGGAGAATTTTTCCATGAACGTCTTGAGCTCATCTTTAAACTCATCAGACAACTCCTTAAATGCGTCATTAGCCAGGTAATTCTCTGCCAATTGAAGGATCTCGGTCCCAGTCAGGGGATCTTCCTCGGGGAATGGGTTCTTGGCTCTGATGTGGTCAAGGGCACGTTCGAGGTCAATAGGCCCGGTGTTGCCCTCCAGTTCAGTGGGGTCAAGACCATCACCACCATATTTGATCTGTAGATGAACTGGTTGTTTTAAGTTTAATGTTATAAAAAAATTTTGTCATGGAGTGAAAGAAAAATTTGTGTGCAACATATACAACTTGTGGCAGTCAGTGAATCAAGTGAACTGAGATTTACATAAAGAGAATTATAAAGAGGAATTTGTAAGTCTTTATTTACCTCAAGAACCCAAACTATCCCTCTTGCTTCACACAACCCAACATCACACAATAGCATATATCCATCTATAAGTAACTGAATTAACCATCCACAAAAAAAACATACAAAAGGAAGATTAACAAAAACAGACTTACACTTCAGACTACTAAATATTCTGCCAACCAACCTGAATAATGTCTTGTGTTGAATTACGAACTGTCATGTCATATGCCACATACAAGTCCTCCAGAGACTTTACAAGTCGACGCTGCATATATCCAGTCTCAGATGTCTTGACTGCCGTGTCAACCAAACCTTCTCGACCAGCCATGGTATGGAAGATAAATTCCGTTGGTGTCATACCAGAGAAAAAACTGTTACTAACAAAACCTTTTGCAGCTGGTATCTTGGAATGCCTGCAAAGAAGCAAACCATCAGAGAGAGAAAATGGGAAATATTAGGACTGAACTTATCTTAGCAGTTTACCACTTCCCTGTTCCAATCAGGGTACATCATGTACTACACTGTCCTACAGAGCTATAAATTCTGTACCACACATTATTAAAGAGATATCAATATCCACAAATCACCAGCATGTTCTACTATTTTCTTCCCACTTATTCAAGCCTCTTCTCACTATGGTGCAAGGTGGCTGAACGCAAGTTCGTCCCCTGATGCTCAATTTTCAGTAGCTAGGGGGTTACATCTCCCTCTTTGCTAGATACTTGTCCACTGAAGAGTTGTTTCGCCATTGACACATAAACACACGTTAAGAGTATGATCATTTAATGTTCAATTCTCCATTCTAGTTGGGAAATGAACCCTTGGTCATGCTCAACTAAGCTACAAGAGCACCTTCACTACTTCTCGAAGGAACAATACATGAATCACTGAAGACAAACATAGAGTAAAAAGTAATCATATATATTCTGTAACATTTGGTGATTTATATGAACAATTTGATGTAAGTAAGGGAAAACTACGACCAGAACTGAACATTAAAAACAGTGAACTGCTACATTACCTTTCATAGTGAGGAAGAGCACGATCTTCAAAACCATTGGGAACTCTCTTGCCACCGATGGCCTGCTGGCCTACACAGGCAATCATCTGGGAGATGTTGATAAATGAGCCCTTAGAACCAGATATGGCCATGATGAGAGCTGCGTTGGTCTTGTGAAGCTCCATGACGCACGCTTTACCAGCTTTGTCACGAATGGTACTTAGTTCCTTCAGGATGAGCTGCTCCAGAGTTTCTTCAGCAGTGCAGCCAGGCTGACAGTGGAGAGTTCCTTCCTTCAGTTGGGAGATGAACTCATCACATTTACCATATCTGTTAATAAACACAGTTCACTAACTTTATACACACAATAAATATCAAAATGAAAGACTTAGGTACACACAATGAAGATATTCTGTGCATCAATGACTTTGACAGAAATAGATATACAGAACAAATGTGCAAAGAACTGAGCCATGTCAGGAAAATTTACATGAGCTTAAATATATTTGAAGCCGAGTTAGAGTGACAACCATAAAATAATATTTCCCCTCCACTAACCCGTCATCAAGCAGTTCTTGTTTCCTGGTGAGCAACCCAGACCCCGGCATGACGTCTCCAATGCCGATGGAGAAGCCTCGGTTCATGATGAAGAGTGTGGACAACCTCGCTACTCTCCACATGGCATCAGCAGCATGATCTTTACCGTAGTCCTTCAAGATGACATAGAAAATATTCTTCTTTGAGCCAGAACCTAAGAGAGACTTGTCTAGAGCCCCCGCCAGGAGTTCAGAGTTTCTCATAATGACCCAGGCCTCATTAGAGCATAGTTCCTCTCCCCGTGTGTAGTCCTTTCTCTTGGTCGTCAGGTTACACTGAACGGGAAATTTCTTATTGGGTCGTATTATCATGCTGAAAATCTGCTTCCCGGTCCATAGTTGCTGAGGCTGTAAAATAATACTGTACCACATTTATACTCACTTCAACACTGACATAAGTGACCATTAAATTACAATAACCAACAAAATAATTAGAACACTTAGCACAGACTTACTCCTTCACAACGAGAGAGGTATCTGCATATCTAGTACGAACATCTGGGCTACAGATCCACAACACTACCGTGCTGGGCATGCATATATCTACCCGGTTGAGAGGGATACATCTTATCAATGAACTTTATCTTTTTACAGGTAGCTACACTCTTTTGTTGTTAGTATAGTGGACTACCATCCTGTCCAGGGTAAGGGACAACCAACTAGCTACTGCATAGTAGGAACCAGAGACTTGGCACCTGTCTAGCTACCCTGCATCACAGCACATAAAACTTGCTATCATAAAGAAAAAATCTTGACTCTTCTCTGAAACTCACAAATGCATCATAATTTCACAATGCAAAATCTTTAGTAAACTCTATGAATACATTAATATGACCTTCATTATAGCCGGTGGTGGAAGATCCACAGTATAGATGGCCTCTTTCCCAGCAAGGATGGAGGTTATGAGGCCACAGGTGTACTCTTTGTCGAAAAACTGATCCTTCTGAGTGAGGAGATATGACCCGGTGAGGAAATCCTGAGTTGCACCAATGATGAGAGCACCATGTCTTGGGGTCACCAAATTAGAGGTCACCTGAAGAAAAAACAAAACAAAAAACAATTAAACAATAATAAAAAAACAAAAAACAAAGATAGATCAAAATTGCACGATTAATTGCTCTTTTGCCAGATGAGATTTCCTTTAACAACGGCAACATAAACTATTTCCCCAGTCTTACAAGTCATTTCCATTAAGTGAGCAACAATTAGCACAGCCTCTTCCTTCACACACTGTCATGTGTTCTTTTTAGTGGCAGCAAGAGATGTGTACTAATATGGTGATGCCTTCCACAACATGATGCAAGGATATGTCCCTGTCCCTTTGCACCACAGCATAAAAGATAAACAAATTGATAATAACATTTAAGATTGAGAATATTAATAAGAATGATTAACTACAGGGGAAGACAATCAGATCTACAGGAGTATCAGAAAAATATAAGCAAAACAGAAAACAATTACTTCGATATTATAAGACTCATAAGAAACAAAGAACATTACACACAGATATTTCAATTACTTCAGCTTCATTTTCAATATGAAAGACAGGTAGACTAAAATTTTATCCAATATAACCCAAGACGCTTTTATAAAACATTATACTTTTTGGGGGTGAAAAAAAAATGCTCAAAATCCCAATATAGGTCATCCTCAACATGCAGATTAAGGATCTGTGGTAGAAATGTTGAAATTTTGATAATTTATTCTGATTATTATGTGTCCTTATATCAATTAGCAAAATTAACTATCAAAACTTCATAATCTATAATACAATTAAAACAATTAATTATCAAAATTTCAATAATTCGACCACAGATCCTTAATCAGTGTCAAGGACGACCTATACTGAGATTTTGAGCAAAATAATCAAGGGGTTAAATGATGAATACAATAATGACATAGTAGTAATTGCAGTAAGCTACAATCCAGAGTTATTATCTTGTACATTTGTTCGCCTACACACACTCACCCCCATCAACACCAAGGCCTCAGCTCGAGCCTCCTCCGTCTGTGGTACGTGAAGATTCATTTCATCGCCGTCAAAATCAGCGTTGTAAGGGGTACACACGCACTCATTAAACCTGAATGTTCTCCAGGGTAAGACACGCACTCGATGGGACATGATGCTCATCTTGTGGAGCGACGGTTGACGATTATACAGCACAATGTCTCCGTCCATTAAATGTCTGCAAGAGATGGCACAAATTACTTCTCTTTAACATAATACAAACAGATGATGATTTATACATAGAGAATTGAGGTCTTCATCCATATTAGCCCTTTGTAGGACCCTATACACTAGTCATCTGTATATTATCTAAAACTACTTCTTATATACAGTATGATATGATAAAGAAACATTGGTAAAACAAATGCAAATAGATTAACCTAACAATACCAATACATATTAACTGTACATACCTCTCAATGATGTCTCCCTGTCTAAGCTCAGTTGCCATTTTTTCCCTGTGAACATATCTCAGCGACTTCTTGATGCCTGGAGTGGACCGGGGCTCAACAAACAGGGCCCCAGGGTGAACGTCGGGTCCATTTCTCACCAGTTGTTTCATCAAATTAATATTGTGTGCTGTGATTTTCTCCGGGTACGTCAGCTGTTTTGACACTTCTATCGGAACGCCAACCTGCATGATCATATTCTAGTTAATACATTAAATGCATAACAATAGAATTATGTTTTCTTCCTCGAGTAAACAGATCTGATAATGACTTTCACCTTATATATCTTATCAATAATCAAAGCTAAAAGATTCCTATTCTTCTGTACTTTTAGGCATGAAGGGGAGCTATTTTTTGATAATGATAAAATAAAAGCAAAATATATGTACCCTCAACATTGTATTAACTTAAAGATACAACAACAAGTCGATAAAACCACTGTAATTCTTCTCACCTCATTAATTCGTAGGTTTGGATCTGGTGATATCACAGTGCGGCTGGAAAAGTCTACTCGTTTTCCTGACAAGTTTCCTCTAAAGCGGCCCTGTTTGCCCTTCAGTCTTTGAACAAAACCTCGAGTGGACTTTCTTGCCTGTGAAAAATGGAAAACAAATGAGGACTTAAGACACGTATAGTTAAATCAACGTAAGAAATAAGTTTGGTGCTGGTTAAGACCTTAAGAGGATATAAAAGGATGGAGAGTGAAGAGGAGACACATCCAGGCTACTGTAGTGTATGTGAATGAGGTAGAGCATCATGTTGAGTAGCTACTGATCAGGGAAGGATGAGGTGCCGGGTTGTGTAAAGTAACGGGTAAAGCAGAGAGATATTTAGGGGCCTTGTTGTGGAACTGGAGAGGCAGGGGAAAACAAATCATTTACAGTTAAAATAAAAATAATGTAACCAAAGAAAGGGAATGTGTGTGTGTGTGTGTGTGTGTGTGTGTGTGTGTACATTTGGTTTTAATTCTGACCAATGTGCAATAAACAGGAAAATATTTCAGAGTATAAAAAATATATACAGTGTAATAACTTTGCAGTACTACCCATAATGTTTTTGTTTTTTCAACATTAGTCACCTTACTATACAGATACTGATGGGTTATTACAGTATAAGTCCACATACCATGCTTAAATCATGTGGTACTGAAATTTCAGAATTCATGATGAAGGCCACATGAAGTTGGAGATGTTCCCACGAGTCCTGGATGCTCTGAACCTTTCCCGAGCTGCGTTTGTTGATCAGGTTGTTCAGGAAGATGATCTCGGTTAACATGACTGTGATGTCGTCTTCATTTCTGTAAGATGAAAAGTATGATTTTTAACACAAAGGAAGAGACAGGACAGAGATTCATTATTGGGGGAGTGTACAGGTATAGTTTTGTTGTGTTGGTAGAGGTGCTGTGGGTGAACTGAGTGATGGTGAATGGCTGACTCATTACATAAGAATGGTGATCATATGGATGAAAGTCAGTGAATCTCTAATAATTGTATCATATAAAAGATGAAATATTTTGCATAAAGAAACTGACAAACAGGAAACATATAATTATCTCATTTATAACATTATGTGAGAATGTGAATGCACAAATATTTCCTATGCGGTAAATATAAATATTAGTCTCACTTACGTGCCAGATTTGAGCTCTGATATGACGGAAGGACGAATGCAATTTGGTGGGACTAGAAGACGAGTGAGAACAAGATCTTTAGGATGTGAAAATTGCTGGTCCATACATAACAGAGGCAGATCAGCCAGGGGTATCTGGAATGTTCACAGAAGAATAATACAGTACTGTACTACAGACTGCAAACTCTGAATGACATGACTTAAATTGTTTCATTTTATCAGCACATCCTTGATCTTTAGAGGCAGTATATCAGTTGTCCTTACTTGCTGAGGGAGGCAATGTATGTTGGTTCTCTTTGGTCACAGCCTAGTGCTTGTTCCCACACTTTTGTACAAACATCAAATTATAAAGCAGCTGCTCTCTACCATACCAATAAAAGTGGGTCCCAGAGGCCTGATGTGCCATTAGGAGCTGAGCAGATATTAAATCTTCACTACAATGAAGCTGTGTGGCCACCAGTGCACTTGGCCACCCATACCCACTATAAAGATGGGTACACCAATTCACAGTAATACTATGCAACAAAATAAACAATTATATCCCACTTACTCTCTCAAAAAGGTCCAGAACTTGACTAGGGTTGAGGAACTCAATAACACTGGATGAGAGTTGAGACTCCAGTTCCTTGTTGTACTCCAGTGCTGTGTCAAACTGGGCTGCACCAAACCAAAATAAATTAGAGATATATCAACACGGCAATTTCCCAAATTCTAAAATTCACGGCTTTTCATAGACATAATTTATGTTTACAGCCTGTGATGCCTTACTTCGAGCATATATGTGTATAAAACAAATACCACCACCCTCAATAAGCAGGCACAACAGATGGACCAAACACTCACAAAAATAGTTTGTAATTACAGGATCTCCTTTCTTCACAGTCTTGAATCTTTCATGGACAATCTTGAGAGGAGGAAGTTTCTTAACTGTTCCATTTTGGGCACCACAATATGAACACAATGACATCTTCTTGCACAGTAGATTAATACGCTTGTACAGGGCTTTCTTTTGAAGGTACGAATTTATTCTTTTAGCCTGTTCACACAAGGTGGACTTATCTTTGGGCTTTAGCAAAACATGTGCACATATCTGCAAGGTGACAAATATGTCAGTGATCATTTATATTAGTGCAAGGAAAAAAAATAGTACTTGAAACAATAACAAAATATGGTATGCAATGGTGAATGACCTACAAAAACTGGTATGAGATTCTTGCATATCCTTTACATTAGGGACAATTTGCCAGAAAATGCAAATATTGTAATTTCAATTATTTAATCCCACATACAGTCACAGACAAAGGTTTGATCCCCGTGATGAAACCGAGTCATGGGAATGAGTCTCCGAACTGACTTACCCTGACTGTTTCATCTCATTTGGGGTCGATGCTGCATCATTTTGGGAGGGAGAGAACTTCTGACCTCAACTGTACAGTCTCCTATGTTTACTTACATTGTGCTGTTATACACATGTCTACTACAGATACACCAGTACAGTAGAGTATACGTTTAAATTAGGTGACTACAAACATTTCAATTATGATATTTAAATGTACTGTATATTACTTAAGGGCTGTGATTCTATATTTACACAGATATTCAGGTAAATTCACTGATTAATGATGAAAGTCTAATACCCCCAAAAATATATTAATAAACATTCCTAAACACTTATATAGTGTAGAAGTAAGAGAAAACAGCAATAACCTCATCAACATAAAATATAGCTAGATGTAAATATGGAAATACAGTCTCTCCTCTACTTACGACGGGGTTCTGTCCCGACGACCAGGACGCAAGTCGAATTGGTCGTAAGTCAAAAAAGCGAAAATAATACATAGAAATTCTAAAATTAAATATAGTACAGTAAAAGTAATCAATAATGAAAAATTAATAAAGTGTTACTGTGCACTTACCTTTAATGTAGTCAACTGAATGCACACAGGGCCTCAATACTTTTTTAATTAAGCATGGAGACTACATTAATTGGATGAAGCAGAGGAGGAGACATGGCGCTCAATAAGTAAACACAGAGATACGAAGATGGAGTCTAAGATTAAGATATACAAATTAAACTTACTTTACATATGTTCTGTAGAATATGAATTGTGTTTTTAAAGTAGCCCACGTGAAAGACTGGTCTGGCTAGGTCCAAGTAGCCGTAGTGACCGATACAGTCCGACAAATTTTTTGCGCAAGTTTCACAGCTCACGTCTTTTTGACTCGTCCCCTGCAAAGTATAGGAGGCTGTATTATAATCTGCTCTTTACAATTACTGGTTAAAGAATATCAAGGATAGTTTGTCTGTTTTTACTCTTATACTCTTATATTTACATCTATTCTGTCAAACGAACCTACTGACGGCCCTGTAGTCTATCCTTGGTCAAACACCTTACTGTCTAGGTACATTGAAAAAATATGATAGGTAGAGTGAATTGTATGATCATATCAATTCCTTGCTAAAATATTCAAGTCTTCCACAATAGTAATATAAAAATAAATAAGAATGTAGAGCCACATCTTCTTCTTGGCAATACAAATGTGACAGAACATTAGCTCAGAAACCTCCTCCTGATATCTTACTTACCATGCGTCGATCCAGTACACCATGTGATGCAGGCTGACGAGAACCTGGTGTAGAGTTGTAGAGTTCTGAAGATACAACGTGTGCGTGACTCAGTTGTTGCATGTCCTGAGCCGACAACACCCCAAACTGTATGTCCAAGATGTTGCGGACAACGTCTGTCTCGCGGTACTGCTCCTTCATCTTGACGGCTCCGTGGGTTAGCTACTAATAATACCCTAAATATATCTGAAATACAACATAAAATCACACATGGGGTAAAAGCCTTACAACAGAAGGTAAATATAGTAATGTATTAATCAGTTCTCACTATGATCAAGGAAACAATATTCTTAGCTATAATTCCAGTATTTAAACCAATCAATCAATTTCCTCTTGTTCGTGTAATTGTAGCAAGGTAAAGATTTTGTAACTTTGCAATTTTTATTGACTAGCTGATGATTTTACTGAATAAAAACCATAATATACATCAATTTAGTTTGTCAATGAGTTTTAACCAGGATAATTACCTCAGCCTCCAGCTTCAGGATAAGGATGTTACAAGATACAGGACCTCTACACAAGGTCGTAGGCATCACATTATGCTCGTACTAACACCACAGGTACTCCAGTCCTTATGTTCTCTTTAAATAGTTCGCTGTATAATTATTAGTTATCCTATTATCGTTTTTAGTACAAGTGTCAGCGTCGACCCACTGGCAGCTGCCCCATGTGTTTTGGTCGAGGGTCACGAGCCTAAAGCAAGACACTGTGGACATTTAATTGTATTTTATTATTTTTAATGTTTATGAACAATATATGACAATAAAATTAGCATTCGTTCTTTTAATTATTCCACCACTTCTGGAGACATTCATTCATTTATTCATATGATTCGGCCAGTCACAGTAATATTCCAACCTTGGGTAATCTAAGGGTGATTAAATCTTAACGCAGCAAAGCAACAGTCCACATTAGCTCCGGACCTCCCAATCTAAGGGTCATACAATGCTAAGGTAATTTGACCAAGATAGCCAACAAAGCCAATAAAGCCATCAGATGCTCATCTCCAGAAGGTCCAATACTTTAAATAGCTGCATGGGTAGATCCAGGGGGTCCTGGAGATCCGGACCCCCCCTAGTCACCATAAAATTACAATACTTTTTCTTTAATGCAATATTGTACTCAGGCGTTTTTTTTTTAGTAGTTACTATTGACCTCAGAATATCTCCTAATATCATGTGCATATGGCTTCAAAATGGCTTCAAAATACTCTTGATATTGGACAGATTAAAAAAAAATGCCGTGAGGGCTTACAGCGCCCCCTCCCCTTCTGATATTCCTGGATCCGCCCCTGAAATGCCGATAGCTTCTTGTATTACCCTCTGTCTAACAGACAGTAATACCTGTACAGTACTTATAAATGTGGACTTACATACATTATGTTTATATAATTACTACACTCACGGTAATTAAACTATGGGCAATTCGGGTGACTCGGGTCACGGATTTGATAAGCCGATTTTACAGCCATCTCTCTCTCTCTCTCTCTTCGTTCATTAACAATAAATTCAGCAGCGTGTTTTTTAATGTTTTGTATGTGTTAATGTGTGCTTGTATACATACTGAACAAAGCTACTAATATTGTATGAAGAGTATTGTGTAAATCAATAAAAGTACGTGTATAGGTATTTACAGTTGAAGGGGTATTTTACTATTAGTCAGCAGTAAAATGTTAGAAGCACCGCTTTTTGATCAGCTAAGTGAAGCAACGTTAGGTGTAGTTTGTAGTGGGATGGGTGACCGCTTAGCACAGATGCTGCTGGCATAAGGACTCTACTAGAAACAAGATTCTCATGACCTGTGGATTATATCTCTGGTAGAAGCTCCTTGGAGACTGCAAGATGGGGTGAACAAGAATTTACTTTCATGAGCATTCTGGGCCCGTCGTGTGTGGTGTTGAAGTAAGTTTTTAAACTGTAGGTTTTATTGAACGGTAATTCCTCCCGTGACTGCTCAAGGTATTTCAAAGTCTGGAAATATAAGACCTATTACTTCTTATCAAATTTATGAATAATCTGATTGTTTTTCAGTATAACCGTCCCCAAAATATCATGGGGGAATTCTTTATGCAATTTGTGACTTGTATTCTCGAGGGAATATTTTTACCTGAGAGAACACGTATACTGTATACCCCTGGAAAGCACGATAGGAACGTTTTACACTGTTCATCTGTCCATGCAACCTGATTTCGTTCAAGAAGACCCACACGCCCTGCCGTCATGTAGAGGAGGTAGACGCCAGATAAACGTGTCTCTACGAGCAGGTCACACGGGGTATCGTATATATGAGCCTTCAGGATATTTTCGTGTTCTAAAACTACCCTAAATATTGTCTAATTTCTGGGGAAGTCAGGAACCTTTACTAAGGAGGGCTGAAAGTAGAGTCTCAGGGTATCTGCAGGACCATCATGAGGACTGAGGTACCAAGTGTCAAGTTTTGAAAATTGGGGATCTTGTTTGTGTTTGCCGGTTAGTCTCTTGCTACGCCGAACTGCCAATGGGGGAACCAAATAAACTGTTACAGAAACACAAGTGAAAACACTCATCGAGGAAAACTTGTGTCACTGATTAATGTCGCATGAGGCATTTGATGTTAAAGATGTGTGAGGTAATGGAGATGTGATGGTGGAGATGTGTGATGGTGAAGATATGCGATAGTGAAGATGATTGTGATAATGAAAATATCGATGGTCAGTAAAGGCGTCTCTGTGTTGTATAGTGAACAAATGATCGAAAATCCCCCCCACACACACATGACACTGCCTCTCACACACTTAACCTTCCTGGTATAAACAGCACAGCATCACTAACACACGATTTGTCTTGTGTTTATGAATTTCTTGATGTCAACAACTCTCAGAGACCTTGACGCCTTGATGCTGTTCTATTGTAAAATTATTTCTATTTACAGATTATTGAGAGCGCACAATGTTGGTAGTAATACCCGTACACACCTGAAGATTAGGTACCTCAGTTTATTTCACCTGATGATTAATTAAATGTCCTGGAGCTACCTGGTGGGCGTTGTGTGTAAATGAGATTAAGGGAAGAAGAAGGAGGAAGGAGAAGTGGAAGAGAAGGAGGAGTAGGGGAACGAGGAGGAGGGTAGTGTAGGTGTCCCGTTATACCCAACGACCTACAGACAGAGATGGAGTAACCTTAGGGCGTCAGTTATTATCTAATGATCTCCTTTTCTGCGTTGTGCTACACCCCGCCCCCTCTATTTACTGCTGACTACAAACACCCTCCTCATACCTCCCTCCCTCCCTCCCTCAGGTTAGGTTAGGTCAGTTTAGCGTTAGGGAGGTTAATCTTCAGGTAAAATAAGCTAGGGGCGACTCATTAGGTAATCCCAATAAGGCATGTGGGCAGGTGTACGCGCTTGAGGCAGACCCACGCAGTAGGGGTCGTCCTGTGTTAATGGGTTGGCCCCTAGGTAAGGTACTGAGGGAGGGGCTGCATACCTCCTGACACAACGCACACACACACACACACACACACACACACACACACACAATTGTTACTACGACTATGAGAAGCCCACTGTACCTGTAATCACCTCCACCTGTATTTCTATAACTAAATCTATACCTGAATTAATTTATCTGTACGAATTATCTACATGTGCTTTAAGATACCAGATAAACGTCCCTCTCCCCTGCAGCTCCCACTCTAACACAACACTGGTCCCTTGATGGTCACCTACCCCAGTTATGGGCGCCAAAACCACAGCCATTTGTAACTAGATCTATGATGTTTACGATGATGTAATATCTCTCCCTTCCCCCCTCTAACTCCCTCACTACCACCCCTCCTTCCCTCTTCTCTACATTCATCTTCCCTCCCTCCCTCCCTCACTGCCCTCCTCTTCTCTACATACTCTCCCTCCCTCCCCTCACTGCCCTCCCTCCTTCCTCTTCTCTACACACCTCTCCCTCCCTCCCTCCCTCACCACAATCACCTTCCATCTCTCCCCCTTAGCCTTGGGTTCTCCTTGGGTGAATAGTTGTTTACCACTGTATGTATGCTTGTGGTTGCTAGGTATACACTGAATCAATGTATATTCCTGTGGTACGATTTCTTTCTATCTATCTATCTATCTGTGTTGCGTTAGTGAAGAATTAGTCGTTGTCAGGACAGTTTATACACACACACACACACACACACACACACACACACACACACACACACACACACACACACACACACACACATATATATATATATATATATATATATATATATATATATATATATATATATATATATATATATATATATATATATCTTGATAAAATCACACGGGAAAAGGGAAACAACGGAGCACCTAAGAAGATGAATTTGTAGTGAGATAACAACTACACTAAGTCACTCATGAAGAAAATATCCTCATCACATCAAACAGCCATCAGTTAGGTCAGGAAGGACTTGTAAGGAGGTACAAAATGCAGTCAAAAGTTGATAAATACTCTAGATGAATTTAATTATATTGCTATACGTTAACAGTCGCGCCATCAGTGTTTAATTCATTACTCCTGTATGTACGTATGTCTGTAGTCATGGGTAAAGGCTTCCGTGTTATGCATACAGATCATCAGTTATAGATGTGTCAGCAGGTGTATTGTTTCCTGGTGGCAAAATAAGCTAACCTTACAAGAAGTAGTTTCACGACACCCAAAGTTGCATCAGTTTGAGCGTAATTACCAGCTTCTCGGTCGTGTCCGCTCGAGCATACGAATATTGCCACACGAACACTACTACTCGCTATTGCACAGGCTCAAGACAATATTTGTTTTTTGTAGATATTCGTAGAAAGTCTAACATGGCAGTCACTTTTCTGTAACCATTAATCTGAAACCTGCATTCAATAAAATGTAATATTGTATTTTAGTAAGTGAATCGTATAGTGACGTGAGGGACGGAGAGCTGAACGTAAAATAAAATACGTTTGGCTGCGTCACGCGACCAACTCTCCCTTTCCTTCATAACTGTCTGTGAACAACGAGTTGAATTGATTCTATTCCCCTGTGTCTTGAAACGTGTAGGACGCAAGGCTTAACTTTTAACTCTCTCTAAATGTGTACTATCTCTCTTTCTCTCCTTTTCTCTTTTTCTGTCTCTCTCTCAGACGTATATACTAAAGACACCCCCCTTGTCCTTATGTCCAACTTTTATTTATTATTTCGTCTCCTCTTCTTATGCTACATCTTCTAATCTATTGTAGTTTGTAAATGAGATGAATCTTAACAAACTCAGATAATGTAAAAAATACTTAGAAATTTCCCACACTCCTATGAGGAAAAACTATCAGAATAAGGAAGTGTAGAAAATGAGAGTTAAATAAAGAGTTAACATGGCCAGAAAATCACATACTGAAGATATCAATAATTTTATCTAATTTACAGCTGTTATGTCAATCTCAAAGCTGCCGAGATTTGAAGTAAATCAGACGCGCCGTTGTTGGAACTCCCATATTATCCAGGAACTTGAGAAAACAAACGAACATCATGTATAAAAGATAAAAATAAAGAAAGATAAAATTATATGATATTCACGAGCCGCCAAGACACGCATCATTGTAGGTTAGGTAAATGTGTAGGAAATGACAGATATATCAAATGCAGTGAGAGAATGACTCGGTGACACGTCCTCATCATTCACGAAAGTCGAACTTGTCTCACATGTTAGGTAAAAAAGATAATTGTCTTCCTCATTCAGGGTTTATTAAGGAATGAGCCCAAAGAAACCTACGCGGAACTTCGAAGGTTTATTTAACAAGAGAAATATGAGGATGTGACTAAGCTTTATCCTGATACACCAGGGGCGGATCTAGGAATATCAAAAGGGGGGATCCAGGAAGACCTTGTGAGTGGAAGAAATGGCGAGCCCAGTAAGGCCCCCGGAATTTGTTTTGAAATCCGCCTAATATCATGGGCATTTTGAAGCCGTGTGCATGTGATATTAGGGGATATTCTGAAGTCAATAGTAAGTACTTTTTACTGTAAAAAAAACCCTGAGTACAATACTGCATTAAAGAAAAAGAATTGTAATTTTCTGATGAATCCGCTCTAGTACACTTTACCCACACTTGCACCTACCGGATTATATTATTCTAATATATTGTACTAATATTTCAAGATAAATATTTTTGGAACACTTGAAAATCCATCCCTAGCTTATTTCACAATTCATTATGAAACTCCAGTCTTTCGGCAATTATACGAAACGAAATGCTACGTATTTTTGGGATATACATCCTACTAATGTTTCAACACCAACAACAAGACAAGTAAAAATCATGTAACAGTACGCACCTTCCCTACAGTGTGCACGATGACTTGTCATGCGTTTCAAAAGACAGGAAGTTACAGGCACAAATTTGCGTCACAGTCAGCGTAGCTCCAACACGGAAAGGAATAATTGTAGTTAATAATGTATTCCTCTGCCTCTCTGGCTTAAAACATTAAACATTTCATCGTTACAATCAATTCGATTTTTTTCAATTTCAATTGTTTATTCCTTGATAGAGGAAGCGGGACCCTAGTGCTGTCACTTGAGGACATTCTTGCTGTTTATCCCAAATTTGCTAGCCCACACTGATTAGTCTTCAATTAGAATATGACTCCAATGTATGTGATCCACTGACCTATATATGCTGCTGGTGAATGTGATGTATTTCCTTCTTTGTGTACGAACCTCTGTCCTGCGTGGCAGTGAACAGTGGCATTACCCACATGAATCTGACCTATATATAGTGTCAATGAATATGATGCATTCTTTGTGTACGAACCTCTGTCCTGTATGGCAGTGAAAAGTGACATTACCCACATGAATCTGACCGACGTATATGTATGTATGTGTGCGTGTGTGCATGTAAATGTACGTGTACGTGTATACGTGTATGTATATACGTATATGTATGTATATGTGTGTGTGTGTGTGTGTGTGTGTTTACATATATGTATATGTACTGTCAATGAATATGATGCAACTCTTTGTGTACGAACCTCTGTCCTGCATGGCAGTGAACAGTGACATTATCCATATGAATCTGACCTCTATACATTTATAGCTGTCAATGAATATGATGTATTTCTTTGTGTGTGAACCTCTGTCCTGCGTGACAGTGAGAAGTGATACCACCCTCAGTGTCAAGACCTGACTGAATTACTCGGAATAGGCAAACTGTACTACAAGCTCTGCCAATAAATTTGTTAAACTAAAAAACTAGGTACCCCTGAACAATGACACCAGAAGCATCTGGCAAGTGTTACAAGTATATACGGTATAAATATTATAAAGGGGCTTACAAAAGCCTAAGGAAGGAAGGATATTCCTTTAACACATAATCAATGTTATTTACATAATATCTGGCCGGTATGGGGAGGATCATCGTGTCTCCGTCAGGGGGTCGTGGTCCAGCAGGCGTCACGGAAGCGTTGTGTGTGGGGACATCTTAGGAGGTAGTGGATAAGGGTGCTGCTGTCGGGTCTTCTGCATAATGCACAAGAGCGTTGCTCAGGGGATGCGGGAATGCTAATCTCCCAAGCAAAGTCATACCCAATGATGATACGGGCAGCGATCACCTCCCCTTTCCGCGACCCTCCTTACAATCTCAAATAAAATAGCATACGTTCATCGTCATCTCTACTGGCGTTTATTTTCACTGGCGTTCACACAATTCTCTATTATTATTATTATTATTATTATTATTATTATTATTATTATTATTATTATTATTATTATCATCTTATTGTTATAGGTTAATGACACATAAAAGCCTACGGTAAAAGTTTCAACAATATATATAATGATAATAGCACCTCTTGATACGACTCCTCCCTAGCTCTTTGAACCCCCTTCCTCTCTCTCTCTCTCTCTCTTTCCTCGTTCTACTGTATTTTGTTTTCTCTATGTGTCTAATATTTATCTCTCGGCCTTCCTTCCCTTCTTCCTTTTACGTTCTTTCTTCTATTTTTCTGTCTCAATCTATTTATTTATCGCGCGGTCTTCCCCCCTCTCTCTCTTCTATTCTCTCTCTCATCTCTCTAATTTCCCCATTCGTTTATTCACTCTAATTATCCCTCTTCCCTTTACAGATCCCCCTAAATATCACCTCCCCATGATGTGACCCCGTCCCTCACTCCCCCTTCCCCATGGTGTGACACCCTTCCCCCGCCCCTCACCTCCATCCACCCCTCCCCTTGTGGTGACCCCCCCACCTCCCTCGCCAGTGAAAGTAAGTGAGTGGGAGAGCAGCGGGTGTGTGTGCTGTGGTTGGCCAGTACACTACAAGTATTACTAGTGTAAGCGACGCTCCAGTTACGAGTGAGATATTCTTCGTCAATTCTTTCCCTCCAAAAATCGACTTAAGGTGGGTTTGAAATTGGTGATTTACTGTATGTGGGTTTTTTAGAGTAAGGTGGTTTTGTAGGAGTGTTTTTATGATTCAGTAGTGTGATTGTGTTGGTATTTTTAATCATATTCATTGTTATTCATGTCATAATTGTATAATCACCTTGATATCTGGATACTAGTCTATTCTTGGTAATTTACTGTGGATACGTGGAATGTATTTTGTTTTTGTTTTTGTTTTGAGATTTTGTTAATGTTAGCATCGCATCAAGCACATACCTGATAGTTAACAAATCACACAGACGACTGGATGTGAATGTAAACTTGATGTCAATAAATTTGTTAAACTTAAAAAAAGAAAAATGATTTACATAAATATGACTCTCTGTGAATTTAGAAGAGGATTGGGCAATTTTGTGGAAGTATCTGATCATGGCGAATCATCCACATGGTATTCAGAATGTAAGCGAGGCTCCAGTCCTCGGGTGGCGCTGTTGCTAATTAATCACTACAGAAGCGACTGACAGGATGTAAACATAAAACTTGTGGATTTGTTTGATTTTCATTAGTTACAGCTGGTATAAGAGACATGATTTCGTAATTTAATTTTATTTATTTCTTTTGAGGGGGGCACAAGTTGGCATTAAAACTTACAGCAGTGTGAAGTAAATAGGACCCTCTATCAAAGCCATTCGTGAGGCAAGAAACCAAAAAGTGACTAGACAAGAACTGGACTGATAAAGACACTGACACAAAACAAAGCCTTGAATACTATAAACATACGCAGTAGTTTAAAACATTGTTATTTAAATACCTGTTTTACAAGCTATTAACACTCTTAAGGTCTTAGTTCTAAACAGATAATGAATCTGTTTTTTTTTTTTTACGTTCAGAATAGATACGAGTAACATATGAAAGTTCGGTGTTTATTTTATGATATAGTGTTTATTTACTGTAAGAACTCAAGGTGCTAAATGATCCACACGCAGACTCAAACTTTCAATTCCGTAAGTGAGATGACGGTGAGGTTTAGATAGATCAGGGGTGGGCAAAGTGCGGCCCGCGGGCCACATTTGGCCCGCCAAATTATTTCTGTGGCCCGCCACTGCATTTGGCAATCAGAAAAAAAAATTCTTATTAATTACAGAAAGGACAATTTTGGAAGTTGGGTGGACACAGCAGCAATACTGGCTCGTCGCTGTTAACCTGTGGCCCGCGAAGTGTGCCACCATTCATATTGATTCAAAATGTACATAGACAATACCAATATATAAATAACATATATAGAGAATGTAGGTGTACAAAGAATGTGTGTAGATACTGCAGGTATACAAACAATGTCTATAGATAGTACAGGTATGCAAACAATGGTAAACAGTGAGGTGACTCGACCAAGGCCAGATGAACAACGGCACCGTAAGCATATTTCCAGTAGCCTCCCCCTCCCCTTCCCACCTCCCCCTCCCCCCACCTCCCCATCCCACCCCCCCTCCCCCTCCACACCGTAACGCGTAATGGCCGTAACTCTTGACAGTAACAGTAATAATACTAAATGATAATTATCTAATTGTTTTTATCATCCAGTAATATCATCCAGGTGGGTTAGCGGTTACGTATGATAATTTGTTTTACCTGATGATTAGACACCTTAGTTTATTTCACCTAATAATTAAATACCTTATCGATAACCATGACTTGCAAGGTGTATGTTGTGTTACAGGTGTGTGTTGAGTGTTACTTGTGTTGTGAGGTGTTAGGTATGTTCTCAAGAGACACAAATTCACCTGTTAAGTAACATTAAGACAACACAGTGGACGTGAAGCCATGGTCAACAGGGTTCACACACACACACTAATGGTGATGAAATTGGTATATGTCAGAGAGGGCATTTGTTGTTACTACTGACCTTAATACAAGATCAAGTGCCTCACCCCCTCTCAGATCCCACTCCCCTCCCCCTCAGATCCCACTCGTCCTCCTCCCCTGCAAACCCCCCAATCATAAGTTACAACACTATTAGCCTCTCAGTGTAGAAGAGAACTATGCTAGATAATCCTCGTAGGTACTAGGTTACTGTCAACCAGGTGTATGTGAAGCTGTAAGGTCGTGGTCGGGAATGATAAGTACCTCAAGTAGTTACGTTTGTTTCTTTACCTTTCACAGCTGATGAACTACAGGCTACACTAGACTGGTTAACTCGGAGAGATAAACAAACAGTAGAATGTTAATGGAGAGGTGTAAGAGGAACGAAGCTGTGACGAATAATATTGATGTGAGAGAGAGTTTCAAGCTGGCGGGAAGGACGGGTGGGCGGGTAGACGGGCGGGACAGGTATATTCTCTATTTTCAATGTTTATATACATTTTGAATTTCAGTAGATAGTGTGATGAGGATGTGGTGTTGTAGGATGACTCGTGTGCTGATGCTGGTGACAAGCTTCTACCTCGCCCAGGGTATCCGCGTCGACGATAAGGAAGGCTTCACTCTGTGCAGTAAGTTGGGTTAGGGTGTGTGGCGTCTTGCGATCTCTGAAGTGTGAAGTGTTTGTGTGGTGTTTTTCAGTCAGTATATCATGACAGACTCTATAAACATTCGCGTGATGCCTTTTTATAGTAGAGAGAGAGAGAGAGAGAGAGAGAGAGAGAGAGAGAGAGAGAGAGGTTAATGGACAATACCCAACTGTATAACCCTGCGGGACAGATGAATAACGAGAGTGTTTACATCACAGACGTGCCGCAACTGGCCCAGCTAAATTCCGTGGAGGTGAGGGAGTGCACCAAATGGCCCTGTCTTGCCCGTGCTGGACGCTCAGGCACCTACCAGATCACCCTCACCCAACAAACTAGTGAGTCACATGTAAACAAACAGTCTCGGTCACTTGTGTACTCGACGCGGGTAAGTACTGTGTTATGCGTCGTGTTCAGATGTAAACGAACGACGTTCTATGGGAAGTCAGTTTGAGTTAATATTTCACCATCAAAACTAAACATAAATCTCAAGTTATTTTGTTTTTCACGCTACATAAACGCCTGGGGGGAGGTCTTGTATCTGACATTATGTTCATTCCAGACGAAGACTTGTACAACATCAAGAGCGACATCTACGCCTGGGTGAGACTCCCCTTCATTAACGCGAACAATAAGCCTGTGAGAGTCTCTATGCCCGGGGAGAAGAAGAAGCCGCTGTGTCGCTTTACTGACACTGGCTGCCCTCTAGCGCCAGGAGTCCCAACTACCATCAGGAAATCTATCACCATCCCCATCCAGGCTCGTATGGTCAGTACCTCACAACACTCACGTTATTTGGGGAAAGAAATGATAAAAGAAGGTTATTTTATGAGTGATAGAAGGTGTTTGGGTCTTTACACTTGAAGAGATGATTGTTCTGAGAGATGAAAGGCGTGTGTAAGTGAAAATCATCTTATCACAATCTACGAAGTCTCAGAGATGAAAGGGATCATGACTATAATTAATTAACTATAAAGAAAGAGAGATTACAACTTACCTTTTATATATTAGAAGTTAATGAGTCTCTGGTCCTCCTTCAGGCTCAGGGCAACGTCGTGGTGGAGTTCCGGGTGACAGATGACAACGAGAGGGTCCTTACCTGCTTCCGCGCCCCCGTCATCGTAGCCTGAGTCCTCCCATCTCTTGACTCACCCTCCCCACCTTCCTTCAGACGTCCCACAGGATCCCCAAGAAACATGATGGATCTTGTCTTAGTTTGAATGCTGAAGGATGTAATGGTGTCCTGAAGAATCCTGATGACATTTATCTGTTCCAAAACCGCCATAGACTCTTATACTGAAAAGGACGATTTCAGGAGCCGTATAGGAGTCTTATGTACTAAAGAGTCCTGTCAACGCCCCCCACGTCCTACGAGACTCAAATAGCCTTAGATCCACTCAACAGATGCCCTTACTATACCAATTGTCCCTTACACGACCCCCACCTACCATCCCTACCACCCCACTACCCTTACCACCCCACTACCCCTACCACCCCACTACCCCAACCCCTACCACCCCACTACCCCTACCACCCCACTTCCTACCACCCCACAAACTACCCTCCTACCTACTCCTCCCCAATTCTACTCTCCCCCCACCCGCTACCCCTACCACTACCACCCCACTACTACCCCACGAATCAACCCTTAATGTACGATCCATTCAGTATTTGTTTTTGTTCACATGATCGAGATTGAGTAAGTTTGTTGATGACTAGAGGAAGTTAGATAAGAGTTAGTTTATTCAGTACAACAATATTTTGGTCGTCATCACGGTCAGAATAACCCTTTGTCTTCCTCAGTTAAGTATTACAGTATAAGTATAGTTAAAGTTTATTACTATATGACCTGTTATTACGAAAAATGATAATAGATTTCACGAGGCACTATTATGAGTTGATCAGTCTTCCATCCTTTATAATCATCAACTTGGGATCAGAACCTCTATAGTATCTTAGCAAAAGTACAACGAGATCTAATTCTTTTCGTAACTTTTATTCAAAGTTGTCTACTAACAAGTTGTTTTTATGTACCAACAATAATAAACTGGACTTTATTGAGGGAAATTTTGAAGAATTCTTTTATGTTATCTGTTTTGTAATTCTTTTCATGTCTTCATATAAATTTCCTTCATTTTTAATACTTACAAATTGAAATGAAATAATAAATTGCCTTTCTTTTATATTTCTTGTCCTTTATTGTTATTCCTACTATCTTTTTTTATTAATTATGGCTATTATTATCCACTGCAGGTAACTGATTAGAAATTTAGCTGGACTTGGAAGATGTGAGACATTAATATTTATCTCCCAAACAAAGGTGTATCTTTGTAAGGCGATTTATTTGTTGATATTAATATAAATATAACAGAATACAAGAAAGTCAGGTGTAATAAGCTCTTCGTATGGCGCTAGTGTGTGGTTTATGGGATCGGCTTCAGGAGTGAGGTGCTTCCCCGTCTGGAGTAGTCCCAGAGATATGCTAGGCTTACAGTAGCTACCCTGAGAGATTAGAACGCCTGCAATTGCTTAGCTTACACTACAGACGGACAAGGGGTGACCTAACTGAGGTGTATAAACATCTCAAGGGCACTATTCAATGGAGTGCTCATACTTGGAGCTGGCGGACGCTCGCCCCACAAGGAGTCACAGCTCAAGGTAGAAGAAGCCACAAGTCCAGAAAACTGTGAGGGGTAACTTTTACAGAGTGAGGGTTGTGAACTCTTGGAACAATCTTCCAGAGAGTGTTGTGACGGCACCGAGTGTGAGCTGCTTCAAGGCCAGACTCTACCAACACTGGAGCAGGTTCAGATACATTCAGGAGTCAGTGCATGCCCAGTACTTGGCAACAGTGGGAAACAGTGACGTGACCGATCGCCCAGGCGATTAACGAGCCGATCAGTGGCGAAGAGGATAAAAGTAAAAGTAAACGGGTACCGAACTTGAGATATAATGAAGTCATTTAAAAAATGAATCCGAACTTGACCTGCTTCGATTAGATAGATACATATATAATCGAAAATTGAAAATAAAAACCAATAATGTTAACTTAATAACAAATATTATGAGAGGACAAAGTTGTGGTACGCAACTTATAAGCGACGTCAGTAGAAAGAAAACGTTATCTGGGTGTTGCTAACTAAGCGATGTAAATAATGAAATAGAGATAGCTGAGATAATATTTATTTTTATCTAACACGTACATTACTGGAAAAACTACTTAGTTACTGTAATCGATTAGAAATAATTCGTTACTTGTCAACCACCAGTGGGCTCTCAGTTATGTTCTGGGTCCTAGCTGTAACTGGACAGGTGAGAGTAAGGTGTTTAAATCCCGCTCCAGCTTTTCCAGGTACTCCGGCTTCCTCCTGTATTAATACCAGACAACAAAAGTCGTAAAAAACTGTAAATAACAGAGCAACCAATTAAACAACCTGTAAACAAAGTGGTAAAATAATAACTAAAACACCAGGGAGGAAAGAGTTTGTTTTATATCTCCCGGGACTCAACTGACCAATCACACAGTAACATCGACTCCCAACTGACCAATCACGTCTCGAGTTTGGAGTAGTCGGCCATATTTGTGTTATTCCAGACCCGTGATGTTGTTAGGCGAGTTACCCGGGTGTTTGGGGCCTTATACAGGTGAGTCACATGTCTTTAATACTCTATAATTTACTCGTTAGATTCAAATACACCCAAGAATAGAATAGTTATAAATTTTATGAAGTAAAATAATGTTTAGACACTAATACCTTGTTAAAAAATGTACTCCCTGGGCCAGGCATTTAAAGTTGTTTCAATATACAAATGCATGTTTATGAGTCTTTATTTCTTCCTTACTCTATTTAACTCTCTTGATCAGTTATTATAATTTAGAGTACAGGGGGTGATGGTAGAGCCATAGATCTTTAATTATTATAAGAATTAACAAGCTGTCAAGATGGTTATAAGGTAAAAGAGACTGACCTCTAACGACCTGATGGACCTCGCTACTAACCACTAATACTAAATAAAAAATAATAACCTTAAGACTAATTCATTATCCTATTCAAGCTCTAAATAAACTGTTTTAATAAGCCATGGTTGAATACTAGTGAAAGATTAATAAGTTTTGAGTTCATTAAGAAATTAAAACTTAATTCTAGTTATTATTTAAACCCAGAGGTTCAGCAGGCGGTCGCCACTTTATATATACGAGTTATCAATGAATTCCTTTATTTTTTGTTTGAGTCATATAACAGATGTAGTTGGAGAGTAAGGAAAGAGTTTAACATAATATACTTGTTCTAATATTACCTCAATGGCTTATCAGGTCAATTAACTTGTTATACTGAACTTGTGGAATGAGCTAACATAATAAAAATACGGTCCGACTAATTACCCAAATGTAGCCGCAATGAAGTCAAGTGATGGTCGTACAAGCGTAATTTGGGCTGTGAATCACTTCTCGATTATTATTTGGTGTCATAAAGTAAAAAAAAAATTGGTAAACTTACTTTAATCTGAGTTGTGTTGTGTTAGGTTAGGTTCGGTTCAGTACATGCACTCGATCTATTAACTCAGATTAAAGTAAGTTTTCCATTTTTTTGTGAATTTGTGACACCATATACTAGTCGAGAAGTGATTAGCAGTCCGATTTATTCATGTAGGACCATTATTTGACTTCATTGCAGCTACATTTGGGTAATTAGTCGGACCCATCTATCAATCTATCTAAGGTATCAATCTATCTATCTATCTATCAATCTATCTAAGGTATCTCTATCTATCTATCTATCTATCTATCTATCAATCAATCTGTCATCAGCCGTCCGCCACTCTTAATAGCAGAAGCGTCTTATCACCACTACTGTTCTGAGTAGCTGAGTCTTGGGATACAGAGGTGATTTCCTTATCCATTTGTGAATAAATTTTGACGTTAGTGGCAATTTGTTCACTCCGATTGTATGCATCTTAAATGTTATCCTCAGTCAGTATGTATGTATGTATGTATGTATGTATGTATGTATGTATGGAGTGTAAACAGTAAAAGGCCATGGATAGCGGACAAAGCCATCAAGTGCTTATTGCCGGGAGATCATAACAGCTTTGTATTTTAAGAAACCATTGTCGTAAGATATGATCAGTTTATTGAAGTAATGCGTTATCTTTACAGTAAGCGATTAATGATGAGTGAAGGTACACGGATAGCTGTAAGGAAGGCGGAAGAAGTGTCCAAGATGGGGGAGGCGGGATTGACACCTGGCATTCCTGTCGTTTGCTTGGTGAGTACTAACCCAAATATACTTTAGTATTTTAATCATACAATACAGGTTATCTCTATGCTTAGAATGGGAGACAAGATCAGAAAGTTTAATATTAAATTTGTTACAGGTGTGTGACAGAACAATAAAAGACATTCATGCCCAGGACGTACACAACTTGTTCTTAGAGTCGAGCGTTACGTCACACACCCGGCAGCAGCTCGGAGACATACTGGAACAGATCATCAAGTCCCCTCTGGATGCTACTCAGGTGGGTATTGGTTTATGTTAATTCATCCATTATCTACAATTTATCCTGAGCTTTTTAATCAATTATCACATATGCTGAATGTTTCATATACTGTACGTACAGTAGTTTATTTACATGCTGGCTTTTAACTCGATCATTGGTTAAAGTTGGGATAACACACAATCTTAATCTTTATTTGAGTTACAGGTATATTGTATTGGTGTGACTAGGTAAGGTTTAAACCATTTATTTTTTCAGGTATATTCAAAGACTTTGTGTCGTCGATGCTTTAAACTTCTTGATGAGTTGGATGAAATGCAGCACCGCTCTGACGTCATCAAGAATACAATAGCCGGCTGGTACAACCGATCATTCCTTAGAAGACTTAAGTTACCAGGTGGAGAGGAAGGAAACTTAGGTATGAATTAACCTCCCTCCCTCCCTCCCTCCCTCCCTCTCTTTCTTGGAGAAGTTAGGAGGTGTTCTAACAAGTCATAGTGACTGGGAAGATTTTGAGTGGGATATGCAAGAAGCTAATTTGATGAAGTGTTGTGTGACTTGTGCTTCTGTACCAGACTGCCTCACATAATACAGGCCACCAGTTGGGTCAGTCATTGTCTTGTCCTCATACAACCCTCAGTTATTCAGCCTTGTTATGATATTTTGATCTAAATTGGGATACCGATCTCCCAAATAGTGGCCGGTATTATGAGAAGCTATTGGCTGTGCCAGAAGAGAGTATTTCAAAATCAAAGCTGCCAATTTTTTTTTTACCCAAAACACTGATAAAATATAATAGGAGCAGTAGAAATGAAAACCTAATTCATTACAGGTGACAACCCCTTATCCGAAATTCCGAAAACCGAAAGTTTTTTGTGGAGCATTTTTTTTTTTAAACAGGGATTAGCCCACCCAGGCATAGATCACTGACCCACATTGGGGCCTGTGGGGCAAAAATGTAATAGTAATACTAATTATAATAATAATAATTATTCACAGTAAATACACCAAAATAAAATAATAATGATAACAATAATAATAATAATAATAAAATATAATAATAAAATTTATGATAATAATAATAACAATAATACTGTGTTAATAAAATAATAATAATAAATACAAGAATGAAAAAAGATAAAAAGTGAGAAACACGACCTAGACCTATGAATTATTATTAATATTATTATTATTATTATTATTATTATTATTATTATTATTATTATATTAAAATACACACACACACACAAAAAAAACCATTCTGAAAACCGAAAAATTCCGAAATCCGAAATGCCTCTGGCCCCAAGGATTTCGGATAAGGGATTGTCAACCTGTATCACATTTTTCACACTTGAGCACAGGATGGCCAGAATTAAGAGCAGCATACTGTAGACTATCATTGGGTAAAAAATGAACATAGGCGATACATAAGTTGTGAAATTCAGGATAAGTGGTAAATGAATGAAGAAAACTTATGATAATGTGCAGTTAAAGGTGGAAAGGGAAAGCGAAACACATACTGTAGACAAAAATACAGTACAGTAGCCTGTATTATATGACGCACAGAAAGGATATAATATCTGATATACAATATATGATTTGTCTTCAACAGAACCAATGGATATAGATAGTCCTGATGAGGATGAAGAGTCAATTGACGAGTTAAAAGTTGAACCATTAGATGACGAGGAAGACCTCCTAGCAGATGAACTGAGGCCTGAAGACCAGGGGATCAGACCTGACGACCCTGAGTTTAACCCCGCCTATGATAATGTGTGGATGATGGGTAAAACTCGCGTCAGAGGTCGTGGCAGGTACGGTACTGTAAATTGAAATTATGTTTATGTAGAGGTGTATGTATTATGTATATAAGAGGCCCTCGGAATGAGTGTCCCGTACTAAACCTGCTTGTGAGAATATAATATATTAAGTTGATAGTCATGAAAAGTATAATACATGTGGACTTAACAGATGCAATATACAGTACAGTATGCTAATTTTATATTTTTCTTAAAGAGGGCGCGGGAGAGGGCGAGGTCGTGGAAGAGGTCGCGGACGAGGCCGTGGCCCCGGTAGACCACCAAAAAACCCAAAGGATGGTTTGGGGCCAGGCAAAACATCTGTCTCTCTGGGGGAGAAGTTAGGCCAACTGGTTACAAAGATACTAGGTAGCTAAGTTTAATATTGTACTTTTATGTTTATGTACTTGATGAATCAACTTAGTGTGCATAATGAATTACTGTATTGTGAAATACTGTACTGTATGGTGCAGCAGTATGGAGGGTTAGGACCCACTCTGCTTACCACCCATGTGAGGAAGTGTGTGTGGAATATTTACACTTGTATCAGCTCTTATACACTCTTCTCCTACCACTCTGTACTGTTATATCCTCCCACCTCTCTTGATGAGTTTGTATTTTATAACAGCTATCACACAACAGTGGAAGACGACTAAAGATGATATGGAAGTAGATAAAGTCTTAGGCTTTGACTTATATCATTGATCCTCTTTTTTTTAGGAAAAGAGATTATAGAAATTGGGAGCTTCTGTTTGTATATACGTACTGTATTCTCGTATGTTTGTGAACATTATTTGTTTAGAACATACAGTGCTGTATACTGTACTGTACAATAGTATATAGGTTTTTAAAATTATTTTCACTTGTTTCTTGAAAGTTACTGAGATATTGTTGGTATCATTTGCCCAGTTGAAAGTTAACAGTGCAAATTTTGGTTTCAGCAGCCATTGTATATGAGTGATCGAGGGTCCTCATGGAAGATTGTTTTACCTGTATTTAGTTCCTGGAGGTGTGTGGAAGTGGGAAACAAGGATTCCTTACCCTGACACAAATGTGGCTATTTGTTTGATTACTGACTACATTATAGTGTTAGTGTGCTGATTAAACAGACATGGGTCAGAAAGGACCTGCTTTTAAGGGTAACTGTTGCACCTAGTCCTCCTTATTTGGGGTTGATAGTGTTATGGGGAGGGAAGGGTGATTGATAAACTCCAATGGGGTGACTGATCAACACTGTCTTGCATATGGAGAATGGTCTGGAGAACAGTTCCGTACTAAGCACTGTGAGTAATGTGGGCCACCTGACTCTGCACTCTGTTAGAAAAAAAGACAGGGTTAATCTTTCATTTTTCAAGTAAGAAATTTAAGATATTTGGAGCATTCCCCTGGATCCCATCTTCAAATGATTTAAAGCCAAGGATATGGGGAATATCCGGTGAAAAAAAAAATGTACAAAAATGTAAATTATGTGGAAGACTTGTCATTGCTCTCATACACAGTTTTGAAAATATAAATTTGATTGCAGGAGATGATGACACGGAGGAACAGCCTAGCTTGGAGACTGAAGAATCTGCAGGTGCTGAAGAAACTGATGATGCAGCTACAAATGTTGAAGACAAGAGTGAAAAGGTAAGACACTTAGATTGTCATTGTTAATGTGTAGATTACTTGTTCTACATTGTTGTGTTAGGATGCAGCTTAACAGGTAGGTTCTGCAAATGAGTTAACAGTTTACAAAAAATTACAAATTGATTATCATTGTTACGATAGAGATACAGGAATTGTTTTGGGTGGTAAATACAGTACAATACTGTATAAGGGAATTTTGTTGGCAGGAACAGTAGGGTCAATTTATATATATCATGAAATCATTGTTTATGGCAGCTGGGGAAAAGTGACCTATTTGTTTGGGTCCTTTAAGCATAAGGAAGGAGCAAATTACAAGTGCCAGAAATAACATAACTTAGAACAATATATGACATGAATAGAATACTGTATTGGTAGTACAGTACAGTAAAAAATATAAGTGATTCTGAAATGGCAATGTAAAGATATTTTTTATAGTATCACTTCAAAAGACTAATATCTCTTGTGACTTTGATCTTCGATATACCGTACCGGCCTGATTCTGGTGATTCCCTCCTTGTCTAGTGATGTTTTGGACAAGAATAAGTATACTGTGTATTGACTCCCAGGTGAATATATTGGTACTACTTTATAACCTTATGTGTATGGAGCTGGGGTCATCTATGGTTGGAGGGAATGTGCTAATTTTTTGTGGTGTCTTTTACCAACTAGCAAAGAATTATGGGCATTGATTTTTTATTGGTACAGGGTGACTCTCTTATCTGGCATTCCGTTAACCAGCAACTCCAAATTAATGGTATTGTTATAGATGAGGCATTTCCCGGCAAACTTCTCAATTGACGGTACTATTATAGATGAGGCATTTCACGGCAAACTTCTCAGTTGACGGCACTATTATAGATGAGGCATTTCACGGCAAACTTCTCAGTTGACGGCACTATTATAGATGAAGCATTTCACGGCAAACTTCTCAGTTGACGGCACTATTATAGATGAGGCATTTCACGGCAAACTTCTCAATTGACGGCACTGTTATAGATGAGGCATTTCCCGGCAAACTTCTCAATTGACTTCACTGTTATAGATGAGGCATTTCCCCGTAAACTTCTCAATTGACGGCAGGTTAGGTTCCACCACCACATAGTTGTCCCATTTGGCCACAGACCTAATTTTACCATTGTTTCATGACATTCAAACAGCAGTTACCCAATAGCTACAACAAAGTAATGATCATGAAATAAAAATCAAATGAAAGGCTAAAGTTCAGTGGCAGTTCATTTGTTTGGGCTGAAGCTGAAGCTCTTACACTGTATAATACTGGCAAACATATGATCCTGAAGCTGATATTATCTACACTGATTGTCTGAAATATTTGTTTATGTCTCAACACTACCTACACTTTGGAAAGATTGAATGAATGTGTACAGGTATATGAGATATGTGGGTTTACTGAGTGTCCTGAAAGGTAACTTATTGTTTAGTTGGAAAATGTCTTATTTGATTACACAGTGCATGCAAGTATTTGTGTATGTGTAGGTATGTTCATCTGCCTGTATTGCTGCCTATGTCAGTTTGTATACTGTATTTGAATGTTTGGTATCACTTAGAGAATTATTCTAATATAATTATGGCAATCTATGCATACAGTCAATGTCACTATCTGATTAAAGAGTGTTACATAGTATATAACTATAGAGTAGATCTATTCCATCAAAGCAACACCAGCATATATTAATGATTTACCTTTAAGTGTTGGGTTCATATACAGTACTGTACAGTATTCCTAATGTATCTACTGTACAGTAAACTGTCAGTTAATCATGTCATATGCTATGTAGGTACTCAGTAGTAGCCTTGATTCCCCTATGTTTCAGGGAGGAATAGGAACTTCTTCTGAGGCTGAAATGTCCACTCATGTTCTCACACACGCCCACCACAGCTGCCCCAATTGTGGTCTGGCTCTCGCTAGACCAAGTGCTCTCAGACACCATTTAAAGATTGTTCATAATATTGAGATGGAGGTAAATAGGGATAAATTTGAAAAGGAAAAGTATCATTGCAAATTGTGTGGAAAGGCATATGCTTCAGCTGGAGGGCTACACAGTCACATGATTGGCATTCACTCGGGGAAGGTCTACAGCTGTAAGGAGTGCGGCCGTAAGTTTAATCACCCCAAGAATCTTGCAAGCCATGTTGTTAGACATAAAGAAAGACTTATCAAGTGTAGTGAGTGTGAGGCAGCATTTTACCTTCGTAGTGAGTTGAACAAACACATTAATCAGGTGCATCGCAAGTGTCGCCCTTACAACTGTGTAGACTGTGGACGATCTTTCTGTCAACGCTCGGTCTTGAAACATCATCGTATGGTTCACTCCGACCATCGTCCTCTCACTTGTCGTCATTGTGGACGCACCTTCAAGCACAGACATGCATTTAATTACCATCTTGAGCAAGAAAGAAAACTCAACACTCAAGAAAATGGCCATCAAGTGCATGCTGTTGAGACCCAACATTCAACTACAGTAGACTTGTCACAAACAACAGAATTGATTCAGACTCAGGATAAATCTAGAGAATGTATTCGAGTACGGAAGGTGAATGTGACGGGGAAAAAATCTGTCATTAAATGTACGACAATCAAAAGTGGAAAAAAATACATCAATGAGGACACCAAATCTTGTAGCCCTTTAAGATTTATTTCTCTTCTACCAAATCTAACCACTGGGTCAGACTCTAGTTCTGTCAGTACACAGGAGCCACAGAGATACCCAGATATAGAGCTGTTTGAGAGTAACACATACGGTGACTCTCTAGAGCCTCCCGGGTCATGTGTAGATGATGATAGACACATTATGTTAGTTAAAGATATGAACGAAGAACCAACTGCAGTAGCTACATTTGTCCTGGGTAATGGATCAGATAAAGTATTGGAGGTAGAGAACTTTAAAACTCAGAATGACCCATCTATTGGTGCCTGTGATTCTTCAGAAGATGCTTTAAGGAATATTGAACTAAGTCACACAGAAATCACATGCATTACAAACACCCAGCCAGGACCCAGCAGACTAGAGTCATCGGTTACCCAGTATATCAAAGAGGGTATTACTGACTGTTGTGTTCTTGGTGATTTTATATCTGTTATTGACAGTGAAGTCTTGAGGGGTAAAGATTCCTAACATGGTGGTGCATCACACTAATGGAAAAGTAAATCTTGTTTTATTTATAGCAAGTTGTAAAATTTGTGAAATATTATACACTCTCCAAAAAGTATCATCACGGAGGGGTCCAATGAATTTTAAAATGAACACCGTGACTCCTGTTGTCTTGGTAAGGTTGTCAAGATCCCTCATCTGTTGTGTAATATTATCTTCACACAAAATTGTAACAATACTTTTTGGAGCTAGTGTACAGTACAAAACAAATTACAGTGTTATAGATTTAAGTATAATATGACAAACCTGTAAGTACAAACATGAACAAAATATAACTCAAATAAATGAAGAGGTAAATATAATGTGGCACCTTTCAAAAATTATAGAACTTACAAGATGATTCCGGGATTAAGAAACTTAACATATTATTGTTTAGTGTTGCAGGAACAGAGCCGGTCTCTCTCACCTAAAGACCCAGGCTTAAGCACACTCCTTTCTTATAAGATATGTCAACTCTTCAGAAGGTGGAAACAAATGAACCCAATTTCAATATACTTCCATGTACAAACTCTAGGACTTTAATGGTAAAAGATTGACCATTAATTAAAAGTTTATAAGTCATTAAGTTTTGGGAAAGAGAGACATATAATTTATCGATGGAGAATTGAAGATTAAAGTCCCATTTTATGAGATTAGGATAAGGGCTCAGAAGATTAGGATGAGGATTGCAAGAGGGATATAAAGGCAGAGAGATTGGTCTGAAGGATTGTACCACCATATAGTGTTTAAGTGTCTGGAGGGTGTACAGTACAATTAGGTTCCTCAGATATACAGTCAGTGAGTATTAAGGACAAATTACAAGATATCCTGTAGTGCTTATGTGTTTCATGTGATAAATTACAATTATTATGTATCATTATAAGATATACTGTAACAGGAACTGAATTATGTATCCCAATTCTATTTGTCGTCTGATTTTATAGTTTACAAAGTACATGCCTTCTGCTATATGTATATACTGTACTGTATGTTCATGGTTGCAAGGTATACGTACCCCCAATCCCTATAGACTCTGACATTACCTAATAACTGAGAGTGGGACCCATTTGAATTAGGTTGGATCCTATTAACCCCTTCACTACAGGGACGCCATTTGTATTATTTTATTTGGCTAACGATAATTAGTTTAGATTGGGGAATGCTCATTTGTTTATTTACTATTTTTATTACCAGTATTTCTCACAATTTGGTCAACTTCATGAAACAAACTGTGTTGTATGATGGAGGGTTCTGGTTTGGTCAACACTTAACGTGCTAATTAAAATGTATTCCTACCATCAACTTGTGTAATGAGTCTCAGAATATTGATTTGATCCTGTCAGTTGAATGGTCTTATAATATGGAGCATTTTAAGTGATTATGAGATTGAATTTTTGAATTTTCTTCATTAATTGAGTCTGAAAGGCATTACTGATCCATAATTGTCTTCAATACTCTTAAGAAAAATTATTCTTATACGGTGGTTTTGTAAGAAAGTTGTAATTTGTCTTTGAAGTGAAATAAATTTGTTTTAAGTTACTAAATACAGGTACATCTTGTTATCCACCTGTCTTTATGTTCCCAGCTGTCTTTCATCTTTACATTTCTCATATTTTTGTGTGAGGTCAGGGGATACATGATCATCAAAGAACGGGGGTAATAATAGGGAGACTAGTACGGTAAACAGGATGGCGTCGGGTGCAGTGTGGCCCTGACCCAGCCTCATATACAGTGCACAGCTATTTAAAAAATACTACTGTACCTCCACTGTAGATCATGCAAATTGTGGTACAGTAATAGGAATTATAACAATACTGTCCTGTTCATAAATTGTGAAGAAAATTTCCCGGTAGTCAATGATGCTTACGACTGGTGTGAGAGGCCTCGGAAAGGTGTTCACCTCGCTTCCAGACGACTGAGAAAATGGCTGCATGACTTTAAGCCATGGCAAGGAGCCTTCTTACCCTACTGCATCTACTTCTGAGAAAAAAAGGATGGGTGGGGGGTTGGACAGGGGAGTTTTCCCCAGTGGTGTGTACAGTACAGTCACCCACAAAAGACCTGTCGTCTCTCCTCCTGAACCACAAACCCTGAGATTCAAACCAGTGAATCCAAAGCATTTATAGACAGAATAATGCATCTAATATATTGCTTCGGGTTCATGAGTCTGAATCTCAGGGTTTGTAGGACAGCAGGAGAGACAACAGGACCTTTGTGGGTGACTGTGCCTGGTATGGTTATAAGATATACAACAGAGTGTAAGCAGTGGGAAATATAAATCTTGAAAAGGTGTGTAGAAGCAATAAGTTTGGAAAGGAAGAGATGTTGATTGAGGATGGAAACAAAAAAGGAATTCTTCAGCTCTTACTGTACTTCTTTTTAACAGCATCATCAGTCTTCATCATCATCATTTTACGGCCGTTTTCTACACATGCTTGGATTAGTCGTGATTACTTGATGGCAAGTTTTATGGCTGGATGTTCTTCCTATCGCCATTCCACTTTTACAATGTTGGACCTGGCATTAAGTACTGTATAGGACTTCCAAGTGCTTTCCTAGCTGACAAAGCAGGTTACTACTCGATTAAGCTTTATTATTATGTCTAAGGAAATTAGATTGTATAAATGTTTAAACCTGGTGCTATTTGTACTGGATGACTAAGTGCACTTATACAGTATTGGAATCCTAATTTTTTTTGTTTTGTCTTGAAAAATATTTCTTACAGTATAATACTTTTAACATCTTTTGGAATATAATAGTGTGTGTGTGTGTGTGTGTGTGTGTGTGTGTGTGCATGTATTGTTTTAAGGGGGTGTTCTTGAGCATAATAACTACGGCAATACTTTACTGTAATTTATATAATATTACCCTGACTTAGGTGGAACTAGTTAGAATGACAGATCTTCCTCCTCTCTCGCTCCTGATACAGATCTCGTGCTTTACAGATAACTGTGGAAGAGATAGTGGTGCTGAGTGGTGTCAGAAGAGAGGGAGGAAAGGGGAAGTCTATGAGGAAGACTCCCAAACTTGAGGATGTGTCTTCTAAATCCGAGAAAATGACTTATAAGAACAAGACCCACATGTGTGATTTGTGTGGGATAGAGTTTGACTATGCACAAGAGTTCAGAGATCACATAAAGACTCACGGAAGTTACGAATGTGCCATGTGTGGAAAAGTGGTCGCCAAACAGGGAATGTTGACTCAGCATTATGTCAAATTCCACGGACTGAAATTAAATCCAGATGCTCAACACGTTTGCTGGATATGTGGCAAAAAATACAAATCTAAACCGGCAGTCACATACCACGTTACTACTGCCCATAATGACGCAAAACTTAAATGTGATATATGTGACAAGAGCTTCGGTCATTCAAAAAATCTCAAGGCTCATATGAAACGTCACGGAGAGAAGGAAGTAGCGTGTGATAAATGCCCCTCTAAGTTTTATACCACTTCTGAGTTAGGATATCACTACAATTCTGTCCACCAGAATGCAAGGTGTTGGAAATGTGAAGTGTGTGGAAAAGAATTTAACCGATCTAGTATTTATCTTAATCACGTAGAGAAGCACAGACCCAAGAGATTCGAGTGTACCGTATGTTTTAAAATGTTCCGTCGAAAAGCGCACATCGAAGCTCACATGAAGCAGCATTTTAACACTAATGCCGAACCCGATCCCTCCCCCAAGGACAAGATTAAGAAATACCTGAGGTGTAACGACTGTGGTGCGTTGTTCGAGAGCGAGGACAAACGGAAGGAACACCTCTGTGGCGACCACGTGAAACTCATCGAACAATACGTCTGTGTTGGATGTAATGTTTCCTTTCATTCCAAAGAGGACCTCGACACCCATGTTTGTGGTCAGAATGCCGCTCATATTTTAGTACAGTCTGAAACGATCACTGAAGACGTACAGATATACGCAGAGCCGGGCAATTTTGAACCTGCTGCCATTGGTATCAACACAGACGAATGGGACACTTGCTATGTTGTACTGGGATGAGTGGAATAGTTTCTTTGTTGTACAGAAATAACCATGATGCCTGCCTTGTTATACGTGTTTAAGAGGTTTGTCTACTTTGTATTCCTTCAGTTTTAACTAAGTGAACATTTGGATGAACTTAGAGCCCTGTTGACCGTAGCCGTACAGATTGTTTGTTTTGCCTTTCTTCTTGTTTGTCAGTGAACAGGGAACTTATCTTGTGCTTGATTGAGTACTATAGCTCTAATACTTACTTTGTATATTCTTTGATAGATGTTATTTAAATGAGTTTATTCTATACTAAATATTTGTCTTTTTATCTTGTGTACCTTCCATGTCATACCAGAATCATCCAGTACTCTCTCAGTTGAAGGTACTTACAGCAAAGAAATATTTACAGTTTTCAATTTCAGAAAAAGTAGGACTTAAATGGTTTTTAGTTATATATAAAAACCAAGGCTGTGGAAACTGCGTATCTGAATAATGTACATTTATTTTGTCCACTTATTGTTTAGGCACAAAACCACAACCTTACTGGAGTTGTATCAGTTAAAGCTGTCAGGGGAATTATACAATTGTATTGCTTGGCACATGTACAGTACAGAACTTTGATATTGAAGCACAAGGCAGTACTGTAGTTTCATATAATTGAGAAAGAGTAATAAACAAGTTTTATATGATACTGTCTCTCTTACCCTAGTACCTGTAGAACCCTTGTGAGTTGAGTGACAGGACAATGATAAAGATTATACAGATATAATGATGATAGACTGAAAGCCTTGTATTGTCTTTCAGACGTTACAGGTGACCCGTCCCAGGGAACCGGGCAAGAGAGTACCAGTTCTGTCCGAGAAGATGCGCCTTAGTATTGCCGAACTCTCTAGAAAATCGCGAGCTTTGCCACACATAGACACATCTAGTACTATAAAGAAGGAGTCAAAGTCACAGGAAAATGCCTCAGAGCCGCGTGTTAAGAGGCCATATCGCAAGAGATCGCACATCATCCATTTGTGTAAGTTTTGTATGAAAGTGTGTCCAACCGGCGAACAGTTAAAAGAACATCAGCGTTCCCACGATACAATCGAGTGCCAGTTCTGTGGGAAGGTTCTGGCCCGGATTGGAGCTTGGGAAAATCACCTTAAGATATTTCATAACGTTGAGATTCAAGTGCCGGGAAATGAGGAAGCGTTAAATCGCCCCAAAGAGGAGGTAGATTGTAGTGTGTGTGGGAAACAATTTTCATCAAAGTCTGCTCTTGCTTATCATTTGAAACTTCACGATGGCAAAAGTTACCCATGTGACAGGTGTAGTAAAGTATTTAGCCACCCAAGTAATTTAAAAACCCATCAGTTAAGACATGAGAAAAAGAAATATTATTGTGAGAAATGTGGTAAAAAATTCCATACAAACTTTGCCCTCTTAATGCATGATAACCAAACTCATCGCATGGCCAAGTCATGGAAGTGTAAACATTGTTCTAAAGCCTTCACTAGATGTGCTGCCTTTAAGGAACACATACGAGTCCACACAGGAGAGAAACCATTTGAATGTCACGTGTGCGGTGTAAAGTTTCGAAAGATCCATCACCTGAAGAATCACACCAAACAGCATGAGCCGAAGACATTCAGAGGTGGACCCTTTAAGTGCCAACAGTGTCCCAATGCAGTATTCTTACACAAGGTCTCATACGATCGTCATAGAAAGTTCAAGCACCCTCAAGTCTCGGTGAATGCTCTGATTGGTGGAGAGAATGACATGTTCACTTCAGAGATTGTACTGAAGAGAGAATATAAGATTGAAGATGGAGGAGAGAGAGTGAGCACGAACTATATGGTTGGAGATCTTGACGGGGTGGAAGGGATCGAGATGGTGGGTTTGGATGATGGCAGCTTTGGTGCCATAGGACAGGGTGGTCAGTGTATTATTGTCCTTTCTGAAGCCTCTGAAACTGTTGAAAAGGATGTAAAGAGCCAGTCACTCCTACAGCAGATGGAGGCATCTAGTGATGCCCCAGAAGCCGGGATTACCATAGAACCACAGCTGTTTAAACAAGAAATTGACGATGTCGTCGTCGCTGATGATGACGAAGATAATGAGTCGGAAGTACAAGAGTTGGATGAGGCTCAACTCGCTTCACTACAGGAACACATGCAGTTAACTGAACAGATGACGGCCACACAGTTACAACAGATATCTATGGCTACTCTTGAGAGCGGGAAGTTCCAAGTTCAGATGGACGGAGAAACTTTTGACGTGTATACAGTCGCTCCACCAGAGTAATGTGTGACATATTTATTCTAATGTCGATGCCATCAGTGTATGAGTAACTGGCAGACTAACTCTCCTCTATTCTTCTGTTGTCTATTGTACAGATAAAGAAGACAAAAACTAACATAAGAGTGGAACATACAGTACAGTACCTCAACTGATGGCCCACAATATTAAGGCTACATTAACCAAGGAGATTCAACTTTTGATATTTTATTTCTCTAATGCCAGACGATTTTATTCAGTTCAGAAGCGACCTTGTACACGAGGCGTTAACCGGTATTTTTATTTATAAAGGAAATCTGTAATTA